CAAACTCCTTTCCCTTCCCCTCCCCCCAACAGACACCCTGTGAGGTGGGTGGGGCTGAGAGAAGCTCTGACACAAACTGCTCTTTTTCAAGGACAGCTGTGCCAGAGCTTGTGACTGACCCAAGGTCACATCAGCAGGTGCAAGTGGAGGAGTGGGGGATCAAACCCGGTTCTCCCAGATTAGAGTCCGCACACTTAAGCACTACACCAAACTGGCTCTACTACTACTCTTCTTCTTATCTGGAAAACCAGGTTTGATTCCCCACTCCTTCTCCACCTGCAGCCAGCTGGGTGACCTTGGGTCAGTCACAAGTTCTCTCAGAACTCTCTCAGCCCCACCTACCTCACAGGGTGTCTGTTGTGGGGAGAGGAAAGGAAAGGAGTTTGTAAGCTTCTCTGAGACTCTTTTGGGTAGTGAAGGGCCATGGGGTATAAATCCAACGGTTGACCCCTCGTGGGGGTTTTCAGAGCCAGAGAGGAACAGAGGTTGTCTGCCATTGCCTGTAGCAATCTAGTCTTTCCTTGGAGGTCTCCCATCCAAGTACTAACCAGGGCAGACCCTGCTTAGCTTCTGAGACCTGGTCAGCTGAGGCTAGCCTGGGCCATCCAGGTCAGGGTAAAATAGGCCTGTTTAACTCCAGGTACGAATCTGCGCTCTGACACATAGCTGGGGGGGGGGTGTGCTTCTGGTACCCTTTGCGTAGGAAGCCATGGGTCTCACAGGAAGCTCTGCCCCAGCACATGGCTCATGTTGTCTATTCCTCCTCTTCCTCTCCCAGGTATCTCACCGGAGACCAGTTCTCTAGTGAGTCGTCCCTGGAAGCGTACGCCCGCTGCCTCCGCATGGGTTGCCGTTGCATTGAATGTGAGTGACGTCACCTGTCCTTGGGTATGCTTTCCTAGAGGGCAGCCAGAAGGGGGTTTGAGAGCCAAAGGTGCTCCACGGCCTCGTGCGCAAAGTCATTCTTCAGCACCGCAGAGAGAAGCCACTCTTAAGCCCGCCAAAATCAATGTGTGTAGGCCGAAGTAACGCTGCACGGGATTAGAGCTGTCTAATAGCTGCGGTGGCTCAAGTGGTTAAGACGCTGAACTGCAGGCTATGGAAGGTCGGTAGTTCAGCAGTTCGAGACCCGAGTGTGCCGCATGACGGAGTGAGCTCCCGTCTGTAGTTCCAGCTCCTGCCAACCTAGCAGTTCGAAAGCAAGAAGTTGCAAGTAGGTAAATAGGTACCGCTTCAGTGGGAAGGGAACAGCGTTCCGTGCACGGTCTTGGTGTTTAGTCATGCCGGCCACATGACCACGGAAACGTCTTCGGACAGCGCTGGCTAACGGAGATGAGCACCGCAACCCTAGAGTCGAACTCGACTGGCTTTCGAGCAAGGGAACCTTTACCTTTAATAGCACAGAAGCCAGTGTGAGAACGTAAGAGAAGCCATGTTGGATCAGGGTCAATGGCCCATCCAGTCCCCCGCCCCCCCCCCCCAAGCACCAAGAATACAGAGCATCACTGTCCCAAACAGAGTGTTCCATCTGTACCTTGCAGCTAATAGTCACTCATGGACCTCTGCTCCGTATGTTTGTCTAGTCCTCTCTTAAAGCTGTCCATGCTTGTAGCTGCCACCGCTTCCTGCAGCAGTGAATTCCATGTGCTAATCACTCTTTGGTTGAAGGAGTACTTCCTTTAATCTGTTCTAGGCCTACTGCTCATTAATTTC